AAACTAAAAATAAAATAAAATTTTGGACTTTCTGGTGATAATATATTTTTATTGGTTTTCTTCATTAGGCCTTTTATTAATCACAGAGTTAGATCTGTGTTTCTAACTACATCCGCTATGTTCTCCATGTCACAAAATAATGTGTATATGGTGGGTGAAAGACAATGGGTTACCCAGTATACGTCCAGTTCTTAGGTCATAAGTGGCACTCCTAAATCTTTCAAAAATATAGAAGCAAAGATAAGTATTGTGGTTAAGTATAAGGAAGATAATCTACTAACTTCCAACATTGTGCTTTAACCACGAGACCAGGGGTGGCTAACCTATGGCTCCGGAGCCGCATGTGGCTCTTCAGAAGTTAATATGCAGCTCCTTGCATAGGTGCTGACTTGGGGGCTGGAGCTACAGGTGCCAACTTTCCACTGCTCAACCCCAGGCCATGCCATGCCTTACCCCAAGGCCCCCGCCCCTTCCTGCCCCCTTCCCTGAGCCTGCTGCACCCTTACTCCTCTCCCCTAAACAGCTAATCGCGGTGGGCAGGAGGGAGGGGCAGGTGCTGATCGGCAGGGCTCCCAGCCTGCAGAAGGTGCTGCGGGTGGGGAGGGGGGAGTTGATGTGGGCTGACTCTTTGGCGATGTGCATTGGTAAATTCTGGCTCCTTCTCAGGCTCAGGTCGGCCACCCCTGCACTAGACTATGCTTCCTGACCATGTAGTTTATCTTCCTTATACTTAACCACAGTACTTATCTTTGCTTCTATATTTTTGAAAGATTTAGGAGTGCCACTTATGACCTAAGAACTGGACGTATACTGGGTAACCCATTGTCTTTCACCCACCATATACACATTATTTTGTGACATGGAGAACATAGCGGATGTAGTTAGAAACACAGATCTAACTCTGTGATTAATAAAAGGCCTAATGAAGAAAACCAATAAAAATATATTATCACCAGAAAGTCCAAAATTTTATTTTATTTTTAGTTTCACCACTAAGAAATATTTTAAAGTTGGGAAAGTGTTTTTTTGCTGCATGTGGCTAATTATTATACATAGTAAGAGAGAGTACACTTGCCCCAGAAAGCTCACACTCAAATTAAACAAAGGACAGGAGAGAAATAAGTTAAGTGACTTGCCCCAGAGGCATGCAGCAGGTCAGTGGTAAGGCCAAGGCATAAGAACGCAGACCCCAGGTCCAGTGCACTATTCATTAGTCGCTGCCACTTCTCATAATCTTACGAGTTTTGAGTACAGAAATCAGAATTTGTACTTTAGTGTAAAGCACATCGCCAGTTTGAGACTTAGAATAAACAGTATTAGAAATGTATTTTGTAAATAAGGTCCTGGATTTATAGTCACTCTTCTTTTGTGTTAACTGTAGGTTGTTACAGATAAGCAGCGGATTCAAAAAAAGAGAGACTGCTTCGGTATGACAGGTATGTATTCATTTTAAGTGCCCTTCCAATTGTTCTAAACCTTGAAGTGCTGGAGAATCCTGGGAGCCAAATGCTTTTAAAAAGTTTGTTTTACAATAACATTTGCAATATAACAAAACATGATGCATCTCTGTTTCTCAGTCGCTATAGCTATGTCTGCACTTCACGGTAAACCTGGGCCTGTGAGATCCAGGCTTCTGGACTTGATCGTTCTAAGCCCAGGCTGAAGCATCCACGCTGCATTTTAAACCAGGGCTTACAGTTGCTGGACCTGGGTCTCACAACTGTGCTTCTGTGTCCACACTGCATTAGGCTGACCTGACTTGGGTCTGTGGTTTGAGCTGCATTTACACTGGAAACTGACAGGGCTTGGACCTGAGTCACAGCAGGACTCGGGCTCTGACCCACCCATCCAACAGGGTCTAGAACCCAGATCCTGAGTAAGCTTGGGCTTTGGCCAGCATGCAGGGCCACCATAAAAAAGGGCAACTATGCAGGAGGTGTAGGGCAGCCAAAGTGACCCACCAATGGAGCATCGTGGCATAGCTGTAGCACCTCCAGCCAGAGGTGCCCCAGAGAAACATTTATGCGTTCATCAAAATATATCATCCCATCCCTCACTGAAATGTGCATCTTAGTTCCTAATACCATAGACTGTGGCAAGCAAATCTTCTTTTGAGGCAGACCGGATAAGGGAGAGGCCATCTTGCTGAATTGTTGCGGAAGGGGGGCTCAGAAGTAGGTCCTCCTTTCCCTGGTAGTGTTCCCCCTTTTGTGATAGAGTAACGGTTTTCCCATTTCAATTTCCCAAGTGGTAGGTAATTGTAAACTTGAATCAAAAGAACAACATGGCTCACCTTAGCTGCCTCTGGTTCAAAGCTCAGGCCTTGTGGAGGTACTGGAGGTTCTTATGGGCAGTAAATACCTGTACTGCGTGCTGAGCTCCCTCAAGGTGGTGATGCTTTTCTTCTAATGCAGTTTTGATTGTGAGCAGCTCCTTGTCCAGTATTTCATAGTTCATCTCTGTGGGGATGATTTTTTGAGAGTAGAATGCACAGGTGTGAAGATCTGACTGGGGTCTGAGTCACTGAGAGAGTCCCATTTTGAGGGCCACATTGGATGCATCTACTTCCACTATAAATGGGTGAGTTGGGTCAGGGTGTGCAAGAACTAGGGCTGTGGTGAAGGCAGCCTTGAACTGGTTGAAAGCAAGCTGGGCTTCAGGCAGCCAAGTGAATCAAATGGCTTTATGAAGGAGGCAAGTTGGGGGCTATTTGTTCACAGTTGTTGGCGATAAATCGACTATTAAAATTTGCAAAGCCCAGGAAGCACTGACGTTCTCAGTGGGTCTGGGGTGCTGTCCAGTTACGAATGACTTCCACCTTCTGCATATCTATTTGAATGCTCCATATAACCTAAACATTCAGTGGTGGTCTGGCATACAAACTAAGCTTTCATAGTCTCTCCAGGACAAACTGACATTATGGCAGTGCTGCTCAGGGCTTCTCAGAAAACACCAATATATCATCAAGGTAGATGTCCTTGAACATTGTTTATGAAATGTTGACATGTTGGGAGGGCATTGGTTAAGCCAAACAGCATTACTAAATATTCAGAGTGCCCATATCACTCTGTCTTCAATTCATCCCCAGGCCTTATGCATGCTAAATTATATGCCCCTGAAAGATCAAGTTAAGTGAAAAGATTCTGGCTGTCCAGCAATTCCAGTTTGAGGTGCAGGGGGTACCGATTTGAATAGTCACCTGAGTCAATGCATGATAGGCTATGCAGAGGCATAGTGGCCCATCCTTTTTTCACACAAAGAGGACTAGTGCCCCCTGCAGAAGTGGATCTCTGAATGAAGCCCTTTGTGAGATTGTCCTGCTATACACGCTTAGTGCATCCAGCTCTGGTTTGAAAAATAATGTCTGTCCATCCACAGGGCACCTTGCCCTGGGTTATAGGTCTATTGGACAGATGTAGTCCCTGTGTGGGGATAGTGAATCTGCATTTTTGGTTTCAAACACACCCAGGTAGTCTCAGTACTTGTCGAGGAGGCTGAGCGTCTGGTCTGGGGCTGCTCTCTTCTGGTTACCCCCCACAGTCCAGGGTCTCACTTCTTAGGGTCTTATCCAATCTTGGGACCATGGATGCGACCACTTGGGGTTGGTCGATTTGTTGGAGGCAAGCTATCTGGCAATATTCGGAGGAGAAGCTAATGCTCCTCCGGCACCAGGAGATCCACTGGGAATGCAGCTCCAACCAAGGACTGCCAAGAATTATTGGAAAGAATGGCGAGCAGATCGCATCAAAACATACTAATTCCTGATGCCCTTCCATTTCGGCCTCTAAGGGGACTGTCTCTTAGGTCACCAGTCCTGATGATAGGGATAACCCATCAATTGCATCCACCAGGTCCGGTGTGGGTTTTGGCAGGAGAGGGATCTGTAGGGTTTGGGCTGCCTTAACATGTATAAAGTTAGCAGCAGCCCTGGAGTCTGTCATTGCTAGTTGCAGGGGAGTCTCCTGCGCTTGCTCCAAGACTCGCAACTGCAATAGCAATTGGAAATGTGGGGAGAGCCCACGGTTCCTGGGTTGGCCTCTACTTGAGGGTGGCTACAGAGCATGGATGATGCCCAGGTTGTACCCCCCCAATGGGCCTGGGATGGTCTATTTCCTGAGCTCTTTCAAGCTAGACAGGAGGCAAAGGTGTGTCCTGGCTCCGCACATTAAAAACAGGTTCAGCTATTGTGAACATTCCTTCTCCTCCAGGGTCAGGCATGACCAGGGTGACCCAGGTTGACTTGCATGGATTCAGGACTTGGTTCTACAGGTTTGGTGTAGAGGGTGGGCATAGCAGTAGTAACATAATGCTCTCATTGAGCATCATAGTTTTTGCTGAAAAGCATCCTATTTTTTTCTGTTTTGTCCTACCTCTTACCCTCTGGTTTATTCTCACAGCATCTTTATCTTTGAAACAAGAAAAGCTAATGGCAACGTTGGAAATTGAAGTGCAGTAAATTACTACCTTTGTCTGTTCAGTGGTGTGTGTAATTGAAGGGACTTTAAATTGGTTCTTGTGTGAGGGCTGCTTTTGAGGACACACAATAACTCCAAGGGGGAAAAAAACAAATATAGTAAACAAATGCATTTTTGAAAAACAAAAATAAGACCAGGTAACTGAAAGTTTTGTTGATGTTAGGCCTCATTAGGAAAAACAAATTCCAAATTTCTTTACAGATTCAAATTATGCAGCTTTGGGGGAAGGGCTAATGATTAGAATTACTGTATTTATTGTTAAAAATGCACAATTTTTTCTATTAGTAACTGAGCATCACCACCGAGCTTGGCACTTTACACCTAAGACATGGCCCATGCCCTGACATGGCCCATGCCATGTCTTACAATCTGCTGTAATTCTGACACTGACAACACCAGTATGGTTTGTATGAATTTAGATGTGGTGCAGAGGTATATGAATGTCAAAGAATGGACTTCTGGGATTCTGCACCCACTGCTTGCCAGATTATAGCTCAACCTCTTAAATTCCAGATTACTGTGTTTATTTTTGTGACTAGTAGCTGCCTCCATTTCAGCTTTCCTTAAAAAAAAAATGTGTGCCCCACTTTACTTTGTGTGTCATTCACCTCCTATAATGGCTGGTCATCAGAGGATAAAGTCTACTACACATGCCAGCTACAGAAGTCAATCCTCTTAACAGTGGAGTTCCAAGATTCAGTCCCTAATGATGACCAGTAATTGAGGTCATTGCAAATGTAAGCTCCACCTCTTTGCGCATAGATTACCAAAATGGAAGAGACTACAAATGGCTAACAGAGTCTTCTCTTACATATCTATCCCCTGGACTCATAGGAAAGGGAGCAGAGAATATGGTCTGTAATTGGACAGCAAAGATTTTTCTTAATAATTCATGTATCTGACACCTAGGTAATATGATATTGTGCATAATTTGAATATATGGGATTTAGTGAATTCAGTTGTAATCTCAATGGCAAAATATTCAGAGTAACCTTTCGCCTATTGCAGTGACGTCATTGTTATTTTAGTTTTCCAATATTTTTAATTTGCAGTTCAATATAATGTGCTTCCTGAGCACAATAGGGTTCCAACCTTTGCAACTGATAAGCTTTGACTTCTACATATGAAGTCAATGGGTTGCCTCATGGGTGTAGAAGTCCATCTGTGTGCTGTTATTTCAGGGTTGGAGTCTATATTGGCATCTCAATTATTATGGTAATCATAATTGTTTATTTAAATCCTGCTCACCAGGACTTTGATTTAAGTCACCAAATTCACTTCTAAGGGCTTAGTCCTAAAAGGTGTGAGGAGGTGTGAGGTGCAAACAGAACCTTATAACAAGTGGTAAATACTACTTCGAGTTGGGCCATAATTCAACATAACTAATCCCAACAAAATACAACAGAGAAATATCCTATATAATATACAGAAAATATGCTGTTTGTTTCACATTTCTTTGGTTGAAAGTTTGTACACAAATTTATTTTTTTGTCAAAAAACCCCAGCATTATTAAAAATGAAACTTTTAATAAAAAGTTGTAGACATTATGAAAACCTTCTACTTCTCACAAAATTTTCCAGCACTGTTTTAATCGAAATTCATATGGAAATTATTTTCAAAATTATCAAAAATTTTACTGAAACCATGGGTTTTCAGAAAGCAAACATGTTTTTTGTTTAAATGAAAAATTTCAAACATGAGTTTGATAAAAATTTCAGTAAAAAATATTGAGAACATTTCACAAAAGATGGGACATGTCCATTTCAAATCCTGGAAACAGAAACAATTTAGAAATTTGTAATTTAAATTATTTTCCAATTTTACTGATCAGCTCCAGTTTGATTAAACTACGTTTTAGCATGAGCAGCCATTCATAGTAATACTGGATCTTATCCCTATATGAAAGATGTTTAGATAGTACAGTGATGAGTGTGCTGTAAGAACTTGTGTTGAATAGACTAATGCTATTAAATTATTTTGGTTTATATTTTCTGAACTATTCATCATAGGCAAATCTTTTTTCAACATGTTATAAAATAATATTGGCATTACTGTTTTACAGAATTGGGGCACTTGATTTGATTGTATTACAATTTAACGGAAACTCATTTGAGAATAAAGCACCGATTAGAAACATTTTAATACATTCTAAATGTTTAATGGTTTACTGGCAGACTGTGTCTTTGAAGCACAAGGCTTTTTTATATTTAGGTAGCTCATGTTTATAAAGCTCTTCAATTATTCATGCTTTTCTGAAATCTTAGTGTGGGCTGAAATTATTAATAGTTGGTTTAAGCCTGAAACCTGTTAAATGAGGTATAATTTGTTTTAAATCTGAATGACAAAATTCTGCTCTTGGAGATGCACATACAAAACCTTTTCTCTGGGCTCCCAGTGAGAGTTGTGTGCACATATCTGAGGGCAGAATTTTGCCCGAAGTTTATTATGAATTGTATAGTTTAATTATTTCAGAAAGTGACACTGGTTCCAATGTTGTACACACTTCCCACTGAGAGCAGAGCCTACTAATTAAAGTTGTCTCCTTTGGAATGAGAGGGAGTAAGGTCAGCAGTTACGGCACTAGACTGGAAATCAGGAAACCCAGTTCTGTTCTTGTGTCTGCTACTGACCTGCTGTGTGATCTTGGGCAATTCACTTCACCTCTCTGTTCCTCGGTTTTCTTCTTGCCCTGTGCCTGCTTTGTCGTGCTCCTTCAGGGAGGGATTGTCTCATACTGCGTTTGTCTAGCAAAATAGGGCCCCAATCATAGAAATGAAGGGCCGGAAGGGACCTCATGAGGTCATCTAGTCCATCCCCCTGTGCTGAGGCAGGACCAAGTAAACTTAGACCATCCCTAACAGGTATTTGTCTAACCTCTTCTTAAAATGGTTGAATCCTCTTTGCTACTGCTATGCACAGTGGCAAGTGTTTGCCATGTGGGATCTAGAGTTTGTGAGACAGATGCTTTAGTTCTAATGTAGAGTATTACTTTCACTTTCAGCTGTAGAATTACTGGGAACAGGATTAAAGGGAACAAATGAAGACCATGATCTGCTTTTGACTTCCGCAGCACCAGATGTTCATGGGATCCATTCACTGTTTGCCTTGATCCCCTCATGGACAAAGAAGATTTTGTTCAAACGAGAGTCTACCATTAGCCAGCAGCTGGTCAGTAAGAGATGGTTGATGTTTAATATCTGAAAGGGTTGAAGAGAAGTAAGATCAGCAGTAGTCTATCACTGGGAATTTAGTACTTAATTAGTATACAGTTTCTAATTGTGTCTCATATGATTATGTTCACCTTCGGTAGCTTCAGCAGTAACATCTAAATGCATGAGTTCCTTATAACCTTAGTGACAGGTACAGTCAAGTGTATGCCATATAAATTCTAACTCTCTAAGTAATAAAATGCATCTGTACCATTTGATGAATTTGTTTCTGTACATTGTGCATTTTGTCATGGAAGTCTGGTCACCGATAATGAACATATGTCATTTAGGCTAATAATTATATGGGAGTAGATAGTTTAAACAAATTTGTATATACAGATAAAAGAAGATTCGTTGGTGGGATGGCAGAGCTCTTAAACACCAAGGTTGAGAATCAGTTTAACTTCTTTTTCTCTTTCTTCATTACATTACACAACTTGTGTTGTAGTTTTATATTGAGATGAGTCCATATACAACACAGATTTTTGTTTTTTCCCTTCCCAGCCGGAAGATGTGCCAAGAATTTCAGTGTCTTCTGGGTATGGGATAACTCTTCAGAAATGTGCAGTGGTAAGTTTCAAGATACTGCTTTCTCTTATTTGAGGAAGTATTAAGATCCAAATCTTCTGTGAATATTTTTTGTCCAGTTATATAAATAAGACCCCTAATATAACCCAAAGCCAGTACACAGAAACAAATACTTTCACATTGTATAATGCAGGGAGGAAGTTGTTATACAGGAAATGTAATCTAATACTTCAACATTATCTGTAAGGAATGAGCTTTGAAACAATAGTCAGCAGCATTTACTAACACTGTACAGAGTACAGAACATTACTGAGCAGTGTAGTCTTTATATTATTGATGAGTTGATATTGCCAATGGTATCTTAAACCATAGTAACCTGTGACATGGGTTCATGCTCCCTAAAGGCTACGGTATCAGAATTAGCAGGGTGAGAACCACTATTAGAAATATCCTTAGTTCTGGAGACTCTAGGAGCACATGAGGAATGATAGCAGTAACCACAACAGCATCTGCAAATGATCAATCTTCCCTTTATTAAAAGCCTTACTACACATATAATCAATGCCACAGCTATAGATACATAAGTGAAGATGGCGAAATATCATAAGATGTCCAACATCGATGTTTTCATACAGGTTGAACCTCTATAGTCTGGCACGATCAGGTCCGGCAACATCCGTGGTCCAGCTTGATTTTATTTATGTTTTTTATGCTTCATCTACTTATTTCCTTGTGCCAATGCAATAAAATTGTGTAACAACAGTAACAATTTGTTATGAAGAGAGCCGGTAAGCCTTGGCAAGGCGCCGTTGCAAGCGTTGTTCTGTTTATTTGCCTCAGAGAGCTTAAAAATGTAAAGAGACCTGCTCACTACAATATTGACCTCACGTGGTTCGGCAAATTCTCTGGTTCAGCACCGGTCAGGTCCTGAAGGTGCCGGATTACAGAAGTTCAACCTGTTCTTGCCTCACCAAGGGTACCATCAAGATGGGTAGATCTCTCAACAGAAGGTTACCTGTAGAGCAGTGGTTCTCAACCAGGGGCCCAGTTGTGAACAGGTTTCAAGGAGTCTGCCAAAATAAACCAGAGAGCAGGGCCAGTGTTAAACTCACTGGGGCCCAGGGCAGAAATACCAATTCTGAGCCCCACTGCCCAGGGCTGAAGCAGAAGCCTGAGCAAATTAGCTTTGCAGACCCCTCCCCCTGCCCAGGGCCATGGGGCCCTGGGCAGTTGGTCTCCTTGTACCCCATAATGTAGACCCTGGCTTTTAATCTACTGAAAAATAGTTGTTGTAGCACAGGAGGGCCATGGAATTTTTATAGCCTATTGGGGGGGGCCTCAGAAAGAAAAAGGTTGAGAACTCTTGCTGTAGAGGGTCTCCTGATGGATTCTTCCTCCCTATTCATACTGAGGATCCCTTTTTATTCTGTGTTACACTCATGCCCATAGCCCTTATGCAGATGCATGAGGGTTCCAACCCCTTTTCCCGTATCTGGATTTCCACACGCCATAAAATTTGGGGTGTCTCACTTTTCATAGGGTATCCTTTTAGTTCCCCTTATTTTAATTAGCATTTACATCAGTAAGTTCCCATGGTAACCTGCCCTCACTGCAGAATTTCCCACAATGTTACAATCTTGCAGAATTGATGGATACACGTAGTGGCATATTTTCCAAACTTCACTTATTAGCATATATTTTACAGTAATCTTGTAACTTCACTGATACCTCCTCGGTTACCTGCTCATGCATACCCTTTAAGGCTTAATGTGTCTAAGATAAAATCTTACAGGCCAAAACCCTACTTTGCTTATAACCTAATGCACACTCATAAATGCTTGCCAATCTTACACCTCTATAATACTATCCTATTTATTGCTATACCTATGCCTACAATTTAAATCTATTCACCACATGTTAATTATATATAAATTAACCACAACAACAGATAACACAATTAGATAAGCCACAGCAGATACTAGGAGGAAGTCTAGTGTAAACATAGAGTGAAAGAGACACTCAAACTGAAATATTTTTTTAAATGACTCAATATATTTCAATTACTGCATCTGGCCCTTAATCCATCTGCCAATGTTTGGGGCTTTATAATCTCATTTTCCAATTTTAAAAAAAAATATTTTTTCTCTCCCCCTGCTGTTTGAAAAACTCACACAAATGGAGGGAAACTGACAGGGATAACAGTGAAAATGACTGCTGTCAAATACACAGAGGGCCAGATTTCCAAAGATATTTTGGTGCCTAAAGATGCAGACAGGTCCCTAGTGGGATTTTCAAACGTGCACCAGCAGCCTAGATGCCTAACTCCCATTGACTTGAGGCACTTAACCTGCTTAGGTGGGTTTGAAAAATGGCTATTTTTCCAGTTTGTTTATTTTGGGCCAGATTTTTAAAACCTAATTTGGTTTTTCGTTTTTACTCTGCTCGGATCAGGTTTGAATATTTGTAATTACAGCCAATTTACTCTGCCTGTCCCTTGCATGGAGAAAGATAGTGTGTCGTGCTTTAAGTCAAGCTTGGATTCAGCCTTTCAAATGACCAAGTGTACAAGTGTTGGGAATTTAGCAGCTGATTTGAAAATATTGACCTGGTGAACTGGACCAGATCATATGCACAGAGTGGAAAATAGGAAATGGAGAATACATATGCGTTACATTGCAGAGCCTAATTAAATGTAATGTTGTCATCAAAATGGCCATAGGTCATAATTAGCAAGACTGAATATTGATAATTTCAGTTACATGAAGTGGTGAGACAAAACCTCCCGCTTCAGAAAGCTTTATAGAGCAGATTCACTACTCCTTTATTATAAGAAGATCTTGGAGAGAGTTTTGAAACACTTGCATATTTGATTCTTTCTGCTACTCATAGTACAACCTAGGCAGTCTCATTAAAAATGGCGAAGTCTTGCTGCGCAAGATCAAAGCTAGTCTGCTCCAGATGGTAGGATTATCAAGAAATAATCTTTCAATGCTGCCAGTTGTAAATTAAAAAAAAAATTGTTATATGTGAATTGTCTTCCACCTTTGGATCAAATTCATATTTTATTTTAACTTACTAAGCTTGCACTTTTATTTGAATCCTAATACATCTGAACAGACATTTTCTTCCTAACACCTGGCTGACCATATGGCAGTCTCTAGTAATTTAAATGGAAAAGTAAGATCTACTTTGTTCCTCCATTTTAGGAATGTTTGAGGCATTTCCTTTGCAAAACCAGCAGGGTAATGACATACATTTACTCATTGAGGGACAGATTCTGTAGTCCCTTCCTCACGTAGATAATGCCACTGAAACCAGGGTGTAAAGATGACTCACATATAGTGGGCCTGGCTCCTCCATTTGTACATTGGGAGTGGGGGGAATAAGGGCCCAATTTGATCAGTGTGCCCTTTAAACTAGTGGTCCTCAAAGCCGGTCCGCCACTTGTTCAGGGAAAGCCCCTGGCGGGCCGGGCCGGTTTGTTTACTTGCTGTTTCCGCAGGTTTGGCCAATCGCGGCTCCCACTGGCCGCGGTTCGCTGTCCCAGGCCAATGGGGGCTGCGGGAAGCCGCGGCCAGCACATCCCTTGGCCCGCGCCACTTCCCGCAGCTCCCATTGCCCTGGGACGGTGAACCGCGGCCAGTGGGAGCTGCGATCAGCCGAACCTGTGGATGCGGCAGGTAAACAAACTGGCCCTGCCCGCCAGGGGCTTTCCCTGAACAAGCAGTGGACCGGCTTCGAGAACCACTGCTTTAAACTGTGTCATTCACCAAATGATGAGAACATCAATGTGTTAGTGCTTTACAGTTGCAATAATCTTAAACAGGACCCTGGTAAATCTTTATAAACAGATGCAGGGTATAAATTATTCTTTTTCCTTTTGTTTTGTTTTTTTGGCGAATGACACCTCTCACTGTCACTTGAATTCCCATGTCTTACACACCAGATGTGTGGGAATCATTCCTAAAGCTCTTCCACCCTTTCCCCAACGTCAGATTCTGTCTGCAAGTTCCTGATCCTTCTCCCTTCCCTGATTTCTCTCCCCCCTCATCCCTTCTGTCCTGACTGTTTCTTCTCCTTTCCACCCTTCCCCCATTTTTGCTTCTTCACCCCAGTCTCCTGTGTGCTAGTCCATGGGCTGATAGCATTTGCTGATTGCCTTTTAGAAACAGAGGACAAAAAACCCAGGGCTCTATAGTTGCTCAACTGTCTCTGTGAGATGCTGCTTCTGCTTCAAGCTGACAGCATCAGGGTCTACTGTAGGAACAAGAGCTGCAGGTTACAAGTGAATGCGAGGGCCAGTGGTTTAAGGGAGATTGTGGCCCCAGGGCATCTATTCCCTATGATAGCTGCAGCTGTAGGAAGTTCTCCTCAGTGGAGGTGAGGTATAAGGGTTTTCCCTCTCCTTTGCTATCTGTTAGAATGTTTTCTCTAGTGCTTGTCAGCGAAATATCGAAGATCTCCTGTTACTCCCAACTACTCACCTTCAGGCTCTTTCTAATCAGAAGTGAGGAGGCAGAACTCCAATGTAACTATTATTATAGTATTCAAAAATGTACAGATGTATCCGAAGACATCATCCCTTTGGCCAGCTGAGAATTGCAATCAGAGGCAGGAGCTGTTGTTGTGAAAGTGGGAAGGAGTTGCTAGGGCCAAACACCGAATGAAGGACTTTATTAGACTATGGAAAATAGGATTATCCTTTAAACTACTCTCTCTTTCTACTTCACTTTAAGGAATTTGCCTAGAATTTTCTCCAGTTCCCCCCATGATACAGGTGTAAAGAAACAGCACACATCTGTGTACCCAGGAGCCACATATGAAAGTTGGCTATGGAAGCTTATTTGTGCCCTGCCCTCACAGTGGAGAAATTTTTTGCAGAGCATGGGAGGAATTAAGCATGTGGGGCCTGATCCAGTAGGTGTGCTCTGAGCATGCCGATCTCCACACAAAACGG